TTTTCTCTCTCTCTCTCTCTCTCTCTCTTCTGGCGCTGTGGCTTCATAAACGGTCAGCGATGCCGACAGCACGCAGGTACTCAACACTCGCCCGCGGGTCCTTAAAAAGTGCTGAAAGTGGGTTCCTGAAATGTCCCAGCAGACGGGTGTCGAAACCCCTGACTGAAGAAGTGCTAGATCTAGATCATAGATTTCCTGGAAGTTGCTATTGGTGAATTGAGCACTGATGAGCTGCAGTTCAATGAAGAATTAGATGAGTTTTCTCTACTACTCTAATAATTTCCTTCCCACTAATATTTTTATAAAAATCATCTTAAGTAAAGTCTAAGCAAAGTTTTGTATTGATGGCTCAGGTAGCTAGAGAACAATGCATGTCGGTCTCAAGTTAGTGTGTCATCAAATTCAGACAGATTTTTTTTTACTGCAGCTCGCAGAAAGCCGGGTGGGGACAAGCACGCTGCCCATGGCCACACAGGCTCAATAGGGTTAAAATCATGTGTATTGAGAGATTTTAAAGATATTTTTGTTAGGCCAAAACTGGAAATGACATGTTGTTTTGGTGTGAAATAGAGATAAGATTTCCTATTTTCCAACAAGAAATTTCCTTCTTGTTGTTCTCTGTGCACATCATCTTTTATTTGCCAAGCTGTTGAAAGAGGAATGGTTGGTCTTGTTGCTTGTTATTTCTCTGTCGCTAAGGAAGGATTTCTTCAGACACCTCTCATCCATTAACCAGAACATTCTCATTTATTTTACTCTTTTCCAAGTGTAGTTAGAGATATTGCTGTAATTATAATGTTATGCCGTGTTTTTTCTTATTTGTACTTACCATAAAGATAGAAATAGAATATTTAATTTGTTCTAGGTTTCAATATTCCATTGTTTGTGTGTTTTGTTAAGTTGCTCACTTTTGTGGTATTGTGCAACTCTCTGCAGTTGTTGAATAAGGAGCAGCAATCACAAGTTTGTGTTTTTGTAGACTGTCTTTCCCTCCCTTATTTTAGTTTCCCGACTTTTATGTTATTCCATGGGTGGCATGTGTTTTATACAAATGTGTGCCTTTGTTTGTGTTTGTTGTGTCTATTTTCCTAATGTTATATATTACTGTTTCGTAAGTTGTGATTGTGTTAAGATGAAAAGTTTTCATTTCTAATTCAGATACATTTTAAAAATTCAGTTTTCAATAAGATTGTAGTTTGTTGCACAGAGGTGGTTCTCTGTAATAGCTGTATATTGTTAGGCTCTTGAATGTTTCTTCAGCTTGCAAGTTATGCTTGTTGTTTTTGTTCATTATCCATGCAGTTCTCAACAGTGAGTTATTTTTCAGTTTGAAGATTATATGGATTTTTTTTCATTAGCTGTATGAGACCAACAATACGATATATCAAAACAGCTGGACTTGAACATACATTGTGTGGTACGGTAAGAGCTTTCGCGGTAGAATCTCTCAAGCACAAGCTGATGTGAATAGGATTCTTGAGATGAATGTTAAACTGGAGATTTCTTCCTCTGAACAGCTGCCCTTCATGCATGAAATACTGACCTGTAGCTCACATATATATGAGCTTCTTGGTGGCACACACAGCCATTGGAGCAGGTTTCCTTAACTCTTTATCTCCGCCAAGCCGCTCCCAGCGGCTCGCGGTCGGAACTGCTGTGCCTGTGAGCCGCTGACAGCGGCCCGGGCATATTCCTTTACAACGATTTCAACATCAAATTATTTTTCGGCAATTGCTAAAAATAGGTTTCTTTTACCGGAAGTTCATTCATTAGGTGAAGTACTGTCATAATGGGTTCACTAGTTTCAATTTAATGACCCGTTTAGTGACGTTTACATCATTTTTGGATTAGGTTTACCCCCCTCGGAGAAAAAGAGTTAAGTTAAACTTTCACGAGTAAACATGTAGCGCTCTGGTGACTGATCAGTATTGGGAATTCAGCCTCGTTTAGTGTCCAAGGAAGTTAACATTTAACTCTCGATGAGTGTTACGTATTACACGACCTTAGTGTTAAAGGAAGTTTATGTTTAACTCGAGATAAGTGTTACGTATTACACGACCTTAGTGTTAAAGGAAGTTAACTTTTAACTCG